TTGGGTCTCCACTCCGCACTACCCCCATCATTCACTACAGTAAGATTTTTTGTTCTGATGATGCCTTATACCTGATCCCTTCGACACCTCCTGATCGCATAAGCTGGTGTGCTTCTTCCATGTGGGGTTTGTTGTTTCTGAGCTTGATGGCCGCTTGTTTACCTTCAAGCCTTTAAGACCCCAGACACTATACTTTTTGATAGGCGGTGGGGCATGCTTCTTCCGATGTCCAAGAGCTGCTGCTGTCCTTTCCTGGTGCCTCACAGGGCCGCTTCTCCGGGCTTCTCGTGCGGAGCATCCGGTCATGTGCTTGACTTGTTTTTCTGCTGGCCTCGGTTTTTAGTCTCCTTTACATTGGTTTCCAGGCCCTCTTTCCGTACTGGGGTCACTAATCCATTCTTGAGAACATAGGTGATGGACATTTCCCCAGTTTGTCATTTGACCCTGATTTGAATCCTGTGATGTGATTTCTACGTTCCTCTACTGAAACCGGCAAATCTTTCACTTATGACTTTTAGATTCGGACCAGCGTTTGAGTGGTCTCTCTCCCTCCAAGATGACGTTTGACATTCTCTCGTGTTTCTTTCATAAGTACGCTTGTGATGTAACTGGCGCTCATCCTGATGTCCAGACATGCCTCATTTCACTGTGCTTCACAGACACCATGGCTATTAGTTTACCTTCAATAGGCTAAAGGCCGGGTAGCCCTGGGTCCAGCAAGTCCATTGGTCCTGTTGTTTTCCTAACAGTGTGTGCTCATTCCCGTCATTCTTACCGACTCCCACACTTCCCAGATGCACACCTAACAGACCACAGTGGAGCGGGAATGCAACTTCTCTAGGCACAGGGACTCGCTACACTGAAACCAGGGCTTCACCGCACAGGGCAGGGTCGGGCCCATGTCCTGAGGGCTGCCTGTCTCTGGGAACTGGGCACCTGGCGTAGCTTCCCCGCTGGCTGCCCTCCCTCTGCTGTGAGACCATCTCACGGGCTCCCTCAGAAGCCCACGGTGCTCCTCTAACAATGAAGGCCTGCGAAGCGCGTGGGCTAAGTGGGCCATACTTCCATTTATTGAACAGGAATGAAAGCCGGGAAATGTGAGAAAATATCCACTAACCTGCTGGAAAATACACCTATTATATGCTGAACTAGAGCTTTTAGTTGAAAAAAGATGGCCCAGCCTGCATTTGGTGGTGCTGCACCCACCTTTTGAAGTCCTTTTTTGGAGGCACTGCCCCAGGAGCCGCAGGAGGAGGTGCCATCTTGGGAAGCGGCATTGCTCCACGCGTCCCCGTCTTCCTCCTCCCATTGACTGGTGCTGAGGCGCCCCTCGTCCCCCCCGCTGCCCCAGCCTTCTTGCATAGATTTTGAAGCTGCAGAAAGAGAGAGAGAGAGAGCAGACAGGAGGTCAGCAGAGTCACTATCCCAGGGTACATGAGGCTACACTGTAACACAATTCAGGGGAGCGAGGAGGAAAAGGGTGTATGAGAAACTACACACACAATCCCATTCCTCCCAGACTAAGGACTGAAATTCTCAGCGCAGATATGTAATGTGTATGCACATGTGCAGCCATGACTGTCCTTCAGGCTGCAGCTATTGGCGTGTGTACTGTTCTGAGCTGTCTTAACAATTAAGAAGCCACCTGGAAACAAAACCTCCAAAATCTAGCTTGCTGCCACCGAGCTGATGCCAACTCACAGCGGCATCATAGGATAGGACAGAACTAACCCTCTGGGTTTCCGAGACCATGGTTCCTTTTTTGCTTTTGGGTAGGTCCTAGTTGATGTTTAAAAATACATATTTTATCATTTTTTTGGTGAAAGTTTACCTAGCAAATGAGGTTCCCATTAAACTATCTCAGCATTTTCCATATACGCTGTCCAGTGACACTGGTTACATATTATGTTGGCATCTGCAGTTTTTCCGTCCCTGTTTCACTGTGCTAACCGAGGCCTCCTGACTCTCTGTGAGCTAGGGCACACACTGACTGTTTGGCCTCAGGCAGAGACTGTACTCTTCATGGGAGCAGAAAGCCTTGTATTTCTCCCTCGGAGCAACTAGTGGGTTCTAAATGCAGACCTTATGGTTAGCAGCCCAACGCATAACCAATGTCACCAGGGAAGGGTGGTCCCCGTGTGGTCTGCATGCTCACTCACGACAGCTTCTAACACCGGGAGGCCAAGGCAGCACGAGGAGGGAGATTTCTTCTTCAGTTACTCTGTGTCAATGGGGAGTAGTTGGTGGGGGTGGAGGTGGGGTGGGGGTGGTAGCAGATGGGCCTGCTACAGGGTGCCTGGTGTCACATGCTCTCAGACACCAGGGAGAGACGGGTGGCGGCACTGGTGCGCCGAGTCAGCAATGCTACGCTGTTTAAAGAGGCAGAGCAGAGCAAGGGCTAAGACGTGTGGCTGCTGCGCCCATGCGGAGGGTTTTGATTCTTGTGTGTATTTATTAATGTCAAATGGGAGGGTGCGGGGTTCTGTTTAAAGCAGTTCTTTTGTGGCCATACCAGGGCAAGTCAGAAAGTATTGCCGCTGGGGTTCCAAACAAAGCCCATGTACACAGGTCTCTGCCCTCAGTGGATGGCTGCAGGCCGTTCTCTCAGTAATGGTGCCAACTGTGGTTAAGGGCCCTTGAGGCGGTTCCGAGGCACAGCGACCCTATGGAAGTGCAACAGAAGGAAACACTGCACCGTCCTGCCCCATCCTCACAACTGGGCTCACGTGTAAGCCCATCATTATGGCCATGGTGCCCCAATCCACCTGTCTAAAACTTCCAATTCAAACAATGGCTTCTGAATGGATCTGCTTGGCCAGTTCAATTCCAGCAAAGAGGTTAGTTCAGAAAGCCATGGGGACTGAGGCTTGAGATTCCACAGGGGTCATCTGGACAGAAACTGCACTGGTGCGAAAAAGGCTGGGGATTTCCCATCACAACACTGTAGCTACTACTCCTCCTAGTGTAGCGAAGGCTGTCCGACAAGCAGTTCTTTGGGAAACCTTGCCCACCCACTCTACTGCCCTGATCTTGTCCCTTTCGACCTTTTTGTTTTCCGAACTTAAAGAACATTTAAAGGCGCATGAGTGTAAACACTTCCAGGAAACCAGAACTGCTGTTCTGATGTGGTGTCTACTGGAGTCTGCAGAATTCTTCAGAAAAGAGTTAAAGAGTTGGAGACATCACCGCCTTCAATGCAGAGACAGACCTAGCTGGAGGAGATGGTGAGAAATACTACCTTCTTGCACAGCTACCTTTGTTTAATAAAGGTGTCTATGAGTTGCTATCACTACTTTCTGACTTAACCCTGTACACAGTATTTGTTTAACAGTCTCGTTTAGAGTTAGTCTTAAGGTGGAGCAAGCCGAGGTGTGCGTCCTAAAGCTTGCGTTCTCTCTGCCAGCCTGCAGATGCCGGGCTCACCTGGTTTGCACAGGGCTGGGGCAGCAGCAGGGCCACTGGCTCTCCCAAAGGTCACCGCTGGTTCAGCAGGATGGTCGCCCCATCCGCTGCCACTGCTGGGGGGCTTCCCCCACGCTGCTGTGCCGTTGTCCACCAGGGTGGAAGGAGGGGGCGGCTCTCCCCAAGAGTTTTCGGCCTTTGAATGAACAGTAGGCATTTCTCCCCAGCCTGACGAAACGGAAGAGGGACGAAAGGAGAGAGAGAAGACACGTGAGATGGGGCAAGGAAGTAAACAGCACACTTGATGTCAAAGCAGTTTCTGGATGGCTGTTGTTGTCAGGAACTGGTAGCCCCATGTGACAGAGGACAGCTGGCCCAGATGGTCTCCAAGGCCATCACCCTTCAGGGGAGCAGATCACCAGGAGGTCTTTTTTTTTAAGCAGAGCACTAGGTGGGCTTGAACTGCTAACCTTTCAGTTAGCAGCTGAGAGCTTGGCCTACAGCCAGGAAGCCGCTAGCAGTAATGCAAAGTCTGTTGCTCACCATTATTTTATGCCTACAATAGGTCTAAGGAAGTGATTTAAAACGAAGGTTTGAGAAGCAGCTTGTTGTCCACCTGGTAGTGCATGTAAAGACCGAAAGGTAGGTTGGTCACATTTTCCTTCTCTGTGGGCTACAAATAGCAGCCACTACAATGGCCTGGTGTTTCATTTGCCTCACCGAGGGTTTCTCTGAGTCAAACCAGCTTGAGCTCACCGAACAACAGCATTAACAACAACGTTCTTTGATCAGAAAAAAGTACAAGTTGCCAATGTGCAGAAACACAGATATTCCAATCGCAACTCAGAACAGAAAATCTGTAGGAGAAAAGCTCTTGGTATAAAATGCAAACAGCTGACCACAATCTTACAGTGTTTGGGCTCAGCATGGATACTTTAATCTCACTGATGAGACTTATTAATTTCTTAAAATGAATGCAGAACCAGTTCCCTTGATGCTCCTTAGTCTAATAAAATGCACTAATACTGATTAATGATGAGAGGGCTCGCAGTCCACCAATCACTTTAAATGACAAGCTCACCGCTGAGTTGAGCAATATGCAAACGGCTACCCGTAACAGGGAGTCGGCCCTCATCAGCGGTGCGAGGCAATTGCTAAGGACGGCGCTGCCTGCAATTACATAGAAAATAACACACACCGAGACGTGCTTGCACAAATTAAAGGAGTAAAATTAAATCAGAAAAATTAGCACAAGTAGGAAAATGGCCAAGGTTCAGCGAAGGAAAACAAGGCTGGTGCTGCTGGCGCTCCCGGCGCTCCCTCAGGCATGTTGACTCCCCACCACAGGCCTGTCACTGTGTGCGTGCGTGCACACGCGCTCCTGTCCCATCTCTGAAAGGCCCGCCGCATTTCCTAAACAGTCAGAAGGAAGGCTCACTAGAGGCTTCCTTCCTCTGAACCCACAGACACAGGAGGGCTGGTGCTGCGAGGGATAGGGACGCAGCTGCTAACGTTGGCTGGCACTTGGAAGCCACTCGGGCTGCTTGGGAGAAAGACCTGGATCCGCTGGCTAAAGGTGACGGCTTATAGAGCCCAATGGGGCAGGAGGACAACAGAGATGCCTGCCGAGTCCCTTTCTTAGAAGCCTAGAGCAGAGGTTCCCACACTTATTTGGTCTGCTGCCCCCTCAGAAAAGACATCACTCAGCAGCCCCCATGAGGCAATGACAAACGTCTGTGCTCTAGACCTCCACCCAAGCCCAAGTCTAGGTCTCCGCTTTGCAGCCCCTATTGGTCCAGCTCTGCCTCCAGGAGATGCTCTGGCCACCTTGGGAAACCTATGCTCGGAAGGCTGGAGAAGTAGGCCAAGAATAGAAGTAGACAGATTCGTTTAAATGTCGAGCAAATATTTTCAGTTGACAGAGTTTTAAATAACACTATGAAAGTCAATATCCGTCTCATGGCCCTCTGTTCCTTGTTGGAGTGAGTCTGGTATCCTTTATGTGAATTTTATAGGGTGTCTTTGAAGAGAGGAGTTTATGCAAGTGGAATTAATTTCTCTCACACACAGAACCCTGTTGCAAGGACAACATGGCCAGAGCCCACCGGTCCCAGTCTCCCTCCTCTGAGGGTCAGCACAGCATGGGGAGTGGCCCATTAACAATGTCCCAGCAGGAACAATGCAGAGAGAGTACCCCAACCTGCCTTTCACTGGGTGCAGCACAGCTGGAGGGGTAGAGGACATTTTCTTCTGTGAAATAAGCACCCAAGCTTGTCACAGGACTCCAGCTACAGAGCCTGCCCCTGCGACTTTGCTGTCCTTGGGCTTGGCGTTTGCAGAGCAAAACTGCTCCACAGGGCTTTCCAGGGAGTGACCTTTTGGAGGTAGTTAGCCAGGCATGTCTTCCGTGGCTCATCTAGGTAGGTTGGACCCTTAGTCAAGTGTCGAGCCCTCTGTGCCACCCAGGGAACTCCAAAAGTGTGACAGGCCATCCTTTCTGGGAAGAAAGGCTGAGTTAAGAAACAGCCAACTATAATTAGGTGAAAAAACCCCAACAAAACAAAGCAAAAAATAACTCACTGCCGTCAAGTTGATGTTGACTCATAGTGAGCCTATAGGACAGGGCAGGTCTGCCCCTGTGAGGTTCTGAGACCGTACTTCCTATGGGAGTAGAAAGCCCCATCTTTCTCTCAAAGTTAAGACAAAAAAAAAAAAAGAAGACTTAAAATTCAATCAATGAGGCATTTCCTTCATGCCTGGGTTTTCAGGTGCTGACTTAATGAGGTGGGCTTGAACTCATGCTGATGGCCTGAGACACAGTGTGAATTTATTATGGTGTCAGGTTGGATACTGGTATTTACACATGGTGACACATGTAGTCACAGGGCTCAGTGCCCCACCTTTCAAGACACGGCTGACACTTCTGCTCATGTCCAGGGACTTCCCTGAGGGTTCTACGTAAGGCTTGGCAGAAGGATGGGTCACTCTGATACAGCATTTTTCTGCAATGGTCTTGTAACTGCCACCAAATGACTGGGTGGGACTATGCAAATCTGATGCTTGTGGCCCACCAAAGGGATTGGACGGCTTGGTAATAATGCAAACAAGGCGCCTGGGATCATGCAACTAAAGTATAAGGAGTCCTAAAGAGTGGATTGGTCAGTTTTGCCATCCTGCTAGGCTTGAGAAAGAGAATTCTGGAGCAGAGAGGAATCTCACCTTCACCAAGAAAAAAGAGCTAAGAGCACATGTTTTGGACCTGGGGTCTCTGTGCTGAGAACCTCCTAGACCCAGGAGCGAGAGCCAGCTAGTGAGCTGTCACCCTGGAGACAAAGTGAGTGCGGCAGTAGAACCAGGAGTCAGTAGCAGGTTTCTTGGCCCTCAGAGTGAGAGAGCACAGTGCCTTTAGGCAGGAGGCTTTCTGGCAGGGTGGGTGCCTTTGGGTGCTCATTGGTCGAACAAAAGAGCACTGTCACACCAGCTTGAGCAGGACAGAAGCTTCTCTGTTGCCTTACTGGATCTTCACAGGGGACAAGAAGGCCTTGGGGGTGGGATTCCATTAATACTCTGGACACACATCCACACATATCTCCTCCCTCTATAGTGGGACTCCTATGCTCTGGACTTCTGTCCCTTAGCAAGCACCCCACCCCCACCCCAGGAAAGCAACAATAACTAAAGTCCTAATGAAATCCAGAAGAGGAGGCCACATCCACAAAGAACCTACTCAGGTCACTGTTCTTTTCAGAACGAATGAGTGGCACTTAAAATAGAACTTCTGACTTCTGGCAGGAGAGGCCCGGGATCTATTTCTGAAGTTATGGTGTGAAGTTGAGCTGTAACAGCATCTTGCTGATTCATGTCAAGGGGACTCCGTTTTTTTAAAACTAATTTTAAGCCACCAGAAAATAAAAAAAGGACAAGCAGGTTTCTAGGACTGGGAGTCTTGGAGGAAGGGCAGTGTTCTGGAGCTCCTGGCATGGATGGGAGGACACCACACTCAGGCAGGTGGGGCAGCCTCAACCCTCGGCTTCCTTGGCTCAGTGTCATGAAGGGTGCCAGGCCTCTGCCATGATCCACTCACACCTCCTTTGCCTGTGTGGGTAGTATTTGTGCTGCAAAACTAAGTTAAAAAGCAAATATAATACCACCAGACTAAGGAGCCCTGTTGTCAGAGTGGTTACATGTTGGCCTGCTAACTGCAAGTTCAGCAGTTTAAAACCAAGGGAGAAAGACGGGGCTTTCTACTCCCATAAAGAGGTGAGGTCTTGGGAGCCCACAGGGGCAGTTCTACCCTGTCCTATAGAGCCACTGAAATTGACTCAATGGCAATGAGGTTTTTGGTTGTTGTGTTTGTTTAGACTAAGAACCAGGTATAAAGCGAAGCCTGCCTCTCACTGAGCCTCCTTGACATGCACAAGGTGACTTTTGGCCAGACCCAGGAGAGTTGAGAAGGCGGTGCTGGCCGGCGAGGTTGTCTTGAGGAGGATGGGGAGTGGTGGTGGTGTTGGGCACCACTCCAGCTCGCCGCCGCCCTACGGGCAGCAGAAGGAAGTCGTGCCTGTGCCATCCTCACAGCGGTTCTCATGTGAGCCCAGGTTCTCATGTGTGAGCCCATCGATGCAGCCACTGTGTCCATCCACCTTGTCAAGGGCCTTCCTCTTTTCTGCCGTTACTTTGCTAAGCATGATGTCCCTCTCCAGGGACCGGTCTGTCGTGATCACGTCAAAAGTACATGAGACAAAGTCTCCCCATCCTTGCTTCTAAGGAACATTCTGGCTGTGTCTTTTCTAAGACAGATTTGTTTATTCCTTTGGGAGTTCATGGTGCTTTCAATACTCTTTACCAGCATCATAATTCAAATTCACTGATTCTTCTGTCTTCCTGATCCAACAGCCAACTTTTACATGCACGTGACTGCAAACACCATGGCTTGTATCAGACACAGGAACACCTTGCTCTTCAACACTCTAAAGAGGTCTTGTGACGCTAATTTACTTAATGTAACTGGTCTTTTGATCTCCTGACTGCTGCTTCTATGAGCAATGATTGTGGATCCAAGCAAGATAACTTCCTCAACGTCAACATTTTTTCCATTTATCATGATGTCACTTATTGGTCCAGTTGTGAGGATTTTGTTCGTTAATTGAAGTATAATCCATATTGAAGGCTGAAATCCTTAACCTTCATCAGCAAGTGCTTCAAGTTCTCACTTTCAGCAAGCAAGTTTGTGTCATCTGCACATTGCAGCTTGTTAATAAACCTTCCTCTAATCCAGATGTTGAATTCTTCTTCATATAAGCCAGCTTCTCTGATGATTTGCTCAGTACAGACAATAATAGGGATTAAAAGGTTAAAGAAAAATCGGGAACATGATCAACATCACCAGTACGCTTCAAGCATATGGTATTAACATTTGATTTCTGCTGATGTTGGAAGACCAACCTCCACATGCAAGTTCATGGCCCTACTATGTTGGTTTAGCTTGAAATGAGTATACGATGCCCTTTATATTCAATTCTAAATTAATTGTACATGTGCCTAAAGATCCATTTTCCAAGTGTTCCACAGCAGCCTCCCTAGGGGTGCTGGGTCATCAGCTGGAGAGGGATTTTCAGGACCTCCTCTTCTGCCCTCAGAAACAATAGTCAGTGCTGCAACTGCACATGGTTGGGTGCTATGGCTACGCCACTGGTGTCCAAGCAGCAGAGTGGCTCTGCCGTGACTGGGTGGCTCGTTGTAGCCAGCTCCTCAGTGGGGGAAAGGGGTGCCATGCCATCGTCTGGCCCAGCGTCCTCTCACAGGTCTCAGTGTCACTGCAGAGTCTCACTACTGTCACCAGGGCATGCAGAAATACTTCAGGTCACAACATAAACCACATGGAAAGGTAAACTTCAAAATGTGACACCAAGGGTTGGCAAGTCATGGCTTGGGGACCAAGTGGTGGCCAGGGCCTGCTACTGTAGCTCAAGTTTGACTGGACTCCGCATGCTCAAGAGTACGCGAGAGCAGCTGTGGAAGAGCTGGCACGGCCAGCTCATGATTGCTGCTTCTGCCCCACGTGACCCTAAAGGACCCCCTCCTGGAGAGTGCTTGTCAACAACATCACCAGGGGCATCCCAGACCTTTGTGTTCTGGGCCCACCAAGGCCCGCTGAAGCCTTGGGGTAGACCACTGATGCTCTGGTGCAATAGCAGCCCCTAAGTCCAGTTATTGTGTGAGATAAAAACTATCAGAAGTGAAGGGCTCTGCCTGCAGTCTGTTCTTTTCGGCCTGTCCATGGCAGTAGAGATGACTTCCCGCTGGGCATAGAAGCTCAAGAAGCCCCCAGCAGGCTGCTGGACGTGAGTGCAAGGGTTTCCCAGATCAACTTCCACACTTGGGACCAAACAACACACAATGCTTAAGAAGAGATCTGGGGGACAAAGGCTCAATAAACAGTGCATTTACTGAGTTGATTCCAATTCTCTCGAGCCTACAGGACAGAGTAAAACTGCCCTTGAGGGTTTCCAAGGCAGCCAGCCTCATCCTTTTCCCTAGGAGCAACTGGGAACTGCTGGCCCTGAGGTTAACAGCTCAATGCATAACCTACTATGCCGTCAGGGCTCCCTGAAATGCTTAGCATAGTAGCCCTTAAAAAAAAAGACATCAGATTTTAGGTGGATCTGCGAAAAGGTGTGATGTGGCTCAAAAGATGAAGGCAGGCTGCCTCCCTAGGAGGAGGATTTCAGGACTGTGGGGCGGAATCTTATGGGACCTGCTTTAGGGGAGAGCCCACAATGATCTAACTTCCGTAACAGGGAAGTAACATTTTAAAATGCTCAGGAGAGTGAGGTGGGCAACGCAAAGACATCGAAATGAGTTCTGTACAAAGGCAGAAAGGGCCGTAGCATTCCTTTGTTGCTGCTGAAGCACAAACACCACAGGTAGCTGATGAGCAACCAGCAGGGGAAGGCCTTTCCTAAGACCTCGCTCCAGAGAAGGCCCTCAGCCAGCAGTTTTTCTTTCTTGGTGGCAAGTCCCTCTGTTTGATTCTCTCTCCTTTCTGTCTTGTCAGACGAACGGTGACAGGTGCAGCTACAACCTGGGAAACCCGACACTGGGTCAGAGCCGCGACCCGAGTCAGGGTGTTACAACCTACCTGATGGCTCTCCTCAGAGCTGATGGCTGATCCCATCAGAGAGGACGGTGATGTCACTGCTGAACTGTCACACTAGGGAGAACCAGGGCCCAGCCAAAGTGACATACATTTTAGGGTGACACAACTCAGGCCTGACATCAACGATCCAATGGCAACATGAGTTCCAACCTATCTAGTTGAACATTTGTCAATTGAAAGAGAAGAAACCCAACAGTAACGCGAAAGCTCCGTAACACAAAGACAAGTTCACAATCAGGTGAGCTTTGGTGACCTGAGCCAGGACCTCCAGGCTAGAGAATCCTGGTCTACCGAGGATGCTCAGCACCTCTTCCCAGTGGGCAGGAAGTTATTAGCCAATTCTTCTTAGTTCTGTGGACATTTAAAAACAGTGCTATCAAGAAGCTTGGCGGAGTTACTTACAGGGCTTCGCCACCAGGATAAACAGCACTCTCTATGAGCGCCCCCACCCCCCACCCCCCGACACGCGCACCCTTTCCTACCTGAGCCAAGCAGTGGGGATCGGGCCAGCTGTGTGCTGGCCTGGTGCGAGGGCGGCGTCTCCACGCGGTTTGCGTTGTTACTGGTGGTGGCAGCGGCAGCAGTGGTGTTGGCGGTGGTACTGCTCTGCATGACTGGGTTGTTTCGATCCCACATGTTAACAGTTTTGTTGTTGTAGGTGCTTGGGTCGCCCCAAGCTGAGGTACCGTCATCGATTTCCATTTTGCGTCGAATGGAGGGTGGAGAGGGTTCTTCCCAGCCTGTGGCCTCGCTGCTGGCCTTCTGCTTGGGTGGCACGGGGCCCCCAACCCACCCTGTTCCTGTCTGCTTAACAGACGCAGCTCCCCCCCAGTGACTCATGCCACTATCTTGGGGTTTGTTAGCCCAGTTCTGTTGGGGACCAGTCTTTAAAGACTCCCCCCAGCTTGTACCTGGATTAATCTTCGAGCTTGTGCCACCGCCCCACCCACTGGTCCCAGACCTGGTGGCCTCGCTCCAGCCCGACCCCGGCCGACCGTGGTCAGCATCCCAGCCAGACCCGTTCTTCTTCCCATCCCCAAGGTGGCTGAGGACAGATGGCGAGTCGGCCCAGTCGCCCCCTCCTGTACTCCACGCAGGACTGGCTTTCTGTCCCTCTCCCCAGTTTTGTGATTTGGGTTTTGGAGGCTCCCCCCAGGTGGATGACTTGTCATCCTGAGGGGCGGCCCCACTCCAGGTGTGGCTGCCCTTGGCAGCGGCAGCATTGTTAACAGCAGCAGAGCTCACTGAGTCCCCCCAGACCCCTGGGCCGCTGGGTGCCTTGCTGTCCCCCCAGCCTGCATTTGCGGGCACAGCAGCAGGGGGCGAGCTGACCCACCCAGATACTGCAGAGGTATTTGTACTGTTCACGATGGACCCTTCGTTCTTCCCCCCTGAGTTTGAAGGCTGAGCAGCTGCACAACCCCAGGCCTCTGTCCCATTGTCGCTCTTCCTCTCAGAACGAGGGGATTCTTCAAATTCCCAGGCAGTGTTCTGCTTTACAGGTGTCTGGCCCCAGCCGGTGTTGGACAGGACTCTTGGGTCAAGATCACTCCTGGGCAACTGGATGTGCCCTTGGTCTCCGACCCCCTTCTCCCGCCGGCGGCCTTCGCCTGCTCCCTCCCGCATGCTGCTTCCTTCATTGTGGTGGCCAGAGCTGTCGCAGCTTCCTTCGCTCGCAGGTGCTCCGGGGACTGCCTTTGCCCAGGAGGCCATCGGGTCACCACTAGGCTGCGTGGCGGGACTCTGGCTGCTGACACTAGGACCATCCCACCCAGCTGAGCCTTTTCCACTGACTTCACCACTGGAATGCTGGTTTGGGGGCTTCCCCCACTCCCCATTCACACCATTGGTTGAGCTGCGGCCAGGGTGGCCCCAGGCTGCTGAATGGCCGTGACCAACGCCAGTGTTGCTGCTGCCCCGGCCCCAGGCTAGTATTCCTGGGCCGGAGGGCGGCCCCGAGTCCCAGGCGTTGCCTCCGCTGGCGTCCTTCTGCGTGGCGCTGCTGGATCCATTTTGCTTAGCACTTAATGCCGAGTTCACAGTGTCTCCATTGCCCTGACTGAACCCAGAATTGCTACTTCCGGCCGCAGGGTTTCCTGGGGACAGGCCCCACACAGAACTGCCTATGCCTTCGCCGGCCCCCACACCGACTTGAGAAACTGTGGAGCCGTTAGCACCAGGAAGGCCTTGCAGGTGGGGCGGGATGAGGGCCCCCATACCGACAGCCACCCCCCAGTTTGGCAGTCCGTTGGTCTGCATTGCATTGAGAGGGTTTGGGGATGAGTTCAGGGGATTAGTGTTATTTGGTCCGTCAGAGTTAAGGTTCTGAGGGTGCATGCTGATCGACACATTTGGGGCTGGGGGTGTCTGTGGGTCGGTGCTCTCCTGCGGCAGCAAACTCCCCCAAGCACCCAAGGGGCCCGCGGCACTCCCATTCTGGCTGCCCAGGCTTTGGCCGATGGCATTGACTGGACTGCAAATACTGGAAGGGTTGCCTGTGGCCACAGTCCCTTCGTGTCCAAGTACCGGCCAGGCGGCTGGGTTGGCATTGGGATTAAGGTTTAGATTAATGCCGGCATTGGAGCTAGAAGCCCCCCAGCAGTTCGGACTCCGACCGTCTCCCATCACATTGTCCAGCTTCCCTTCCCCGCCGCCACCCAGGGAGCAGTGGGCCAGGCCGGCACCGGAGCCTGTGGTGATACCCCACCCTCTGGCTGAGTTCCCGTTGCTGCTGGCTGCCCCGGCTCCGAGGGTACTTGGGGTGGCTGTGCTTTGGACGAGGGCGCTGCCGGAGCCATTATTGCCATTTGTCTTTTTGGGGTGGCCGGTGCAGGTACCCTGGGTGCTCCCTGTAGCCATGCTACTGTTCTCCGAGCCGCAGGTGGACGCAGAGTCAGTGTCTGTGGGGCATTCTGAGGCAGCTTCCGTCTCAGTGCCGATGGTGGGAGGCCCCGCCTCCTGGTCGGGCCTATCTGCTGTCACTTTATCCCAGCTGCAGTTGGCCTCGCTTCGGTGCGGGGGCTGCTGTCCCCAATGGGGACTTTCATAGTGATCCACCAATCCGCCGTGGCTGAGATCTGAAAAAGATGGAACACACCCCACATTAGAGCCTGGCTTGAAGGCGGCCTGGGGATCCACTTGGAAGGGGCCCTTCGGAAGTCCTTTGTTTATTAGTTTTTCCAGTCTCAACGACAAACACCCAAACACGACTTCACGGGGAGGCTGGGGAAGGGAGGTGTCACCTCATACTTCCTAGCATCCATTTCAAGCTGTTTGCTTCTTACCAGTCCTACCGACTCTTACCATCTGGTGCCCCACCCTGTCACCCTGAGAGAAGAGGGTGCACACACGCACGTGCACTGGCAGGCATTTTTGGAGGAAAACAAGCTGCCCAGCAAGTCCTGGGCATGGTTAAACCAATCCACAGCCTCCCTGAGCCCCATACTGTGTGGTGGGCTTGAAAGAAGAATTGAAAATACACCGCAGGGTCAGACAGTGGAGAACCTGTGCCCCACCTTTTTTTTTTAGGGAGGGGATGGTGAGGGGGAGGAACAGAGGTCTTTGAGAGCTTGGTCTTACTAAGGGGAGAGACGCCCAGTTGCCCAGGCACTGTGTAGTCCAATCCTGCAGCCACCCTGGCTGGTCACAGGGTCCCACGTACCAATCAAGACCACCTTCTTCCCCCAGCCAGTGGCTCCCTGGCCAGGGGCCTTTCTGCACACATGACCCCTTCCCTTTCCTCACAGGCTATTCTCGAGAGAGCCTCTGACAGCCTGGCTCTCACCTCACTTTCAAGATCTCTTTAAAGGACCCGCTATCAGGCATTTACATTTTATCCTAAGACTTCCTAATGGGCTACTTCTTCAATGACACGTGGAGGCAGCACGTATCATTGAAGAAGTGGAGGTAAGGATAAAAAAGCACTGAACCCACATATACCACAAACTCATACCATTGAGAAAGCCTCCAAAGTTCCTTTAAATAGTATGAGCCACAAACAAGCTGTCACAAATCATTTTTTAGACCCTTTTAATCATTTCACTCTCATCCAATTCATGCTAACAAGACTTGTGGATATTAAGACATGGATTTCCTAAAGAAAGTCTCTTTTAAAATTGTGAGGAGCTAAGGTTGGAGTAGGGAGAAAGTGTGTCAAGAAGGAACACGACCACTGGAGAACACACCAAAGCGGGTGTAAGCCTTTCAAAAGCCGCCTGTGCCGCCTGCGTTTAGAGGAAGGTCAGGAGTTCAGAGTTGTAGTGCAGGTGGCTCCAAAGTAGGTGGGCAATGCTGGGAGAAAACTACAAAGGAAACTGGGAAACCGACAACAGGAAGCCTGTGGGCTCAAAACTTTGGAAGAATAGCTGTTTTTGTGTTTTGTACAATACTGGTAGTGGCCCTGTAGCCCTGGTTTCTGTTGCTCACTCTTCTCCTTTGTCTTGCCCAGACTAGAAAGTTATCTCCCGTGGACCTAGAGACCAAGTGAGCTGCCCACCAGCGATGATGGATGTCAGCAGCGATTGGATCATAGGTCCTATTATGGGTGGGCCCACTTCCCCGAGGCCAGGGCTTCTCAGCGAGCACCCTACCCTCAGGAGGCTAGCACCCTGGCTCACCACTGTGAGCCCTGAGGAGTGGTATTTGGACATGGAGCAAGCTCTTTTCTATACCCAACACACCATGAAAGGTCTAGTGTTGTTAGGTATTCTCAGTCAGTTCCCACTCATGGTGAGCCTGTGCACAACAGGATGAAGCACCAGTCAGGTCTACGTCATCCTTGTTCTTAAGTTGCAGCCCCTCAGTCAACCTTTCTTGCGCAGGGTCTTCCTCTTTTTCACTTCCCCTCTGAAAGGACTAGTGTTTTGTTAATGGTTGACGATCCCTTGGGTCCCACTTTTTGTTTTTTAATCTTAAAGCTTTTATTTGATGCTGATAGTTTAGAGGTTCCCACTTAAAAAAATATATACATATTTTTGCTGTTGAAAACACCCACAGCAAATCATACCTCCACTGGAAAAATTCTACACAAATAATTCAGGGACACGGCTTGCTCTCTTCCAGTTATGCAGCCATCCTCATCCTCCTCTTTGGATTGCTCCTCCCCCGAGAACACAGCTTCTGGGGCCCTGGGCTTCTCCCTCACCTTCTGACCCTTTCACAGGGGTAGCCTGATTCCTAACAGTAGCAAAATTACAGTTACGATGTAGCAACAAAAATAATTTTATGGTGGTGGTGGTGAGGGTCACCACAACATGAGGAACCATACTACAGGGTAAAGGCATTAGGAAGGTTGAGAACCAGTTTTAGAGACCAGTGAATCGACTATTTGAAATGAGCATCTCTCCCACACATAAGAAGCCCCAGTTGGTCAATGCGCTGGGCAAGGGCTAGTCCTAGGGAAGACATCCAGCAGACACAAAAGCCACCCTAGACATCCAGGTGCTGTTTCTATGACCTTGGACACTGTTATCATCTCACCCAAACCCACTGCTGTCGAGCTGACGCTGACTGAGCATCGGGGACTGCTACTGCTCCCTAGTCTCTGACACTGGCTTTACAGGAGCAGACGGTCCCATCTTTTCCCTCAGAGGAGCTGGTGGGTTTGAGCCATCAACCTTGAGGTTAGCAGTCCAGAGCTTACCTAACATGCCACCAGATAAGCTTTGTGTTAAAAAAAAAAACCTGGCTCGTATTGGTTGGCCCTATAGGACAGAACAGAGTTGTGGGTTTCTGAGGCTGTAAATCTTTACAGGAGCAGGTAGCTTCATCTTTCTCACTAGGAATGGCTAGGGGTTTGAACCGCTGTCCTTGCAGATAGTTAGCAGCCCAAAAAGGAACTCACCACACCATCAGAAACTCCTGGCTATTTTTGTACAAACTCAAATAACCTCACTGCTATTGACTTGATTCTGACTCACAGTAGCCCTTTAGGGCAAGAAGCCACTCTGGGTTTTCAAGACTTTAAATCTTTACCAGAGTTGTTGTCAGGGGCCATGGAGCCGGCTCTGACCCATCGTGACCCTGTGCTCAACAGAATGAAACACTGGCCGGTCCTGTACCACCCTCATGTTGTTCCTGAGCCTGAGCCATGGTTGCAGCCCTGGGTCAGTCCATCTCACTAAGGGCCTTCCTTCCTCTTTTTAGTTGCTCCTCCACTTTATAAGTACGATGTCCTTTTCTAGGCAATGGCCTCTCTTACATGAGTAGACTCATCTCTCTCATGCAGAGCAGCTGGTGGGTTTGAACTGCCAACCCTGTGGTTCGCAGCTCAGTGCATAGCTCACTACACCACCAGGAAACCTTTAGAAGACATAAAGTGCATAAACTATAGCGTTGAGAAATCTGACTAATACTAAAAATATCCGTAATGGGCTCTCTGCTCCTCCTCGTGCGACAGACAGCTGCCTCTCCTACTCTCCTGTTCCCGTGCAGTCCCAGCCGCATCCCGAGACACGATGGTGAAGGTCGGAGTGAACGGATTTGGCCGCATTGGGCGCCTGGTCACCAGGGCTGCTTTCAATTCTGGCAAAGTGGAAATTGTTGCCATCAATGACCCCTTCATTGATCTGAACTACATGGTCTACATGTTCC